CCAAATGGGATGAAGACAATTGAACATGGGTATTATTTTCAGTATGCCACGGTCAATTCAAGAACATTAGAGTTATTAATGAAGATACATAAATGTGGTTTTTTTATTTATTTTTCTCTCTTCAGTCCAATAAATAATCATCTTCTTAATATAGTGGCCACAATAGATTGTACTCTGGCAGTTTTTTGAATAATCTCAGAACACACAAGTCTCAGTTTTGATCATTCTTTGAGAAAGTCTTGAAGGACCTTTCAGAATTCTGAATCTTAAGCATCCGTTAAAGTTTTTTTTGTAAACTTGTCACAATTCCTTTTAATTCTTAGCTGAAGAACTTTTGGATGTTGAACAGAACTCTTGAGAATCTGTTCAAGTTTCTTGACAGATATTTTTTGCGTTGAGAAGCAGGATCCTAGCAGTAGTCTCTCTTGATTTTTCATAGGATCTTAACATGAACAGCGAACAGAATTTTTCCAAGATATTTTCAAGTATCAGGCAAGATCGAAACCAAATCTTTCTATTGAGAATCTGTTCGGATTAATAATTATGCTAAACAAAGATCAAAGAAAGAAAGTAACAGGATCAATGAGAAACTTACATTAATCAATCCAAATAAGCTTTGATTAGGATCTTGTTGAGCACTTTCTAAGACTAAACATTTATAAATCTTGAAGGAAAATATCAATTTTAATCGAGATTGCAATAATAAAGCACACATATTCAGTTAGAATCATGCAAGACTCCTATTCGCTATCTTTGTTTTTGCCATTTCTCAAGAAAGATTTGAAGGATCGTATAGAATAATAATCTAGAGGAGTAGATGTTAATGTGAATGTCGATAAAGGAAGTATAGCTATAACGAAATCGTCCACACTGACCATCAAACCAATACACCACCCACATCGCATATTAAAATCCATCGACAGCCACAACTTCAACTCATATCAACACCCACACTTGTACCCTTTTGGTCTGTCTGACCCTTGAAAAAGTGACTTGTTTCGATTCTCGATTCACGCTAATACCTCATACCGACATTTCATATCGATATTTAGCCACATCCACATGCACATGCACATGCACATTGCTTGATGATTATTGAAAAATGGTAACGCGACAGATGTTCCTCAGAGAGATACTTTCGCGAGAGTTGCTCCCGAACACTTGCTCTCAGAGACGCTTGCTTCCTAAAGAGGGGCTACCCAGATTTATTTTTTCGTGATTTATATTTTCTGCAGGATTTATTTATTTAATGAGGATTTATTAATTATGGCTATATTTTGACGCATCAACACTCATAGCCATACTCAAATCCTATCATCATCTTCATTCACATTCACACGCACACCCTCACCCACATGTTGCATGTATTGAGAAATCATACGGAATTTATCTCAAAGTGTTTAGAGACTTATTGAAAAGTCTCAATAAATCCCGATAAAATAAGTCTCAGTAGCTGCTGTTCCGAGACATTTGCCTCTGCAACAGTTGCTTCCCGAACACCGGTGCTTGCTGGACAGTTGATCCTCAATCCTACCCAGCAAAATTCTCATTGATTACAAGAACGATAGGCTGTGGGTGTTGGTAAGAATGCGGGTGTGGGTGTGGGTAAAGGCAAGGTAAGGGTATAGGTGAAGGTAAGGGTGCAGGTGAGGGTGTAGGTGTGGGTGTGAGTGTGGGTGTAGGTATGGTTGTGGCTGTGGATGTAGATGAGGTGAGGTTTTGTGTGGTGGTGTGGATTGAGCTCTTTGATTGACAGATCCTAACACGCTTTTGCTGTTGCAATCAATATAAAGATTCTGCTAAGTACGATTGGGGAGCTAGTGTCCGGGGAGTATCTTTCATGGAATCTTGAAAAACTACATCGGTATTAAGGGTACACTAGTATCATGTAATTGGACATCGAGTTGGCTCGAATACCAGTTAAATCAAGTGATCAGTTAAATTGGTACCCACTTAAAATATTTATATAATGAACTGCTGCCAATATATCAGATGAAAATAATATTCAATTATTTGAGAACATTTTAACTAGTGACTCAGTTTAAACTGGTATTCCATTGACAAGAACTGGTGCATCCATAAACGGTATGAAGGAAATATGAATGAGTTAGTCTGTGACATGTTGAACTGTACACAAATCGTGAACTCATCATAGTTAGTCTCTGTATGAGACTGCCCTTGTAAAAATTCACGTAATATATAACAAGTAACAATATCCAAATGTCAAAATACTGAATATTTTTTTATCATGGAACACAGAAACAAAAGAATAAATCCGCAAGTTATAAAGGCTTCAAGCATTCTATCGCATACATTTGGAAAAATCTACCAAACTTCACAGTACACCATCAAAGTCGAATAACAGATTAATAAGAATCGATGGTTTTCAAAAGGATCGATCACAACAGCGACAGATGCAATCAACAAGTTGGCATTAACAGATCATAAAAGCAAATACAGTAAAACTTCCCTTAGATGGGCACCATCGGGACTTTTTTAAATCACCCACTTAATGGAGGTGCCCTTGTTATAGAGATTTTTACAGATATTGGTCACAAACACTAATCATACATATATATTACCAATTTATCCTTAGACCATCGATTGTATCAGGATTTCACTCTCATTATTTAATGTCTTTTCTTCAACTAAGTTTATTTTCTATTTTCTTATTTACAATCAATTTTTTCGAAAAAAATCCGTAATTGAGCTTTGCTTGTTGGTTTTTGAATCAATGTAAAATTATCGTTGATCAATTCGATCTTCTTGTCAAGCGTAAGATAATGATGCGACGTCATTTCTGAATGATTTTATTCAGCAATGTCAAATAACATGACTATTTATACTTTTTTTTATCACTGAATGCACAATCAAATGTATAGACGAGTTATTTTGTTTGTGTCGTCAGACGAGACTATTCTCCATGTCATTCACAGGACAACAAAGAACAACAAGAAAAAAAGTACACTGAAGTGACTCATATGATGACTATATGTGCCCATATAAAAGGGGTTCGTCTATACAGTACGGCCTAAAATTAGTGCCCACTGCTCAGAAGTGGGAGGTGCCCTTGTTATAGAGGTTCATTTCCAGCAAAAATTGACCGGTCCTTCCGCCGGGTGCCCATATAGATGAGGTGCCCTTGTTATAGAGGTGCCCACATAGAGAAGTTTTACTATAATCAATCTAACTGAGCTTGAATACCGATGTTTTCATCGAATCTGACAGAATAGTATTTATTTGCACAGAATGGTAGAGAAACAGAGAGAGAGCGCATTCTAATCATAGCGTGCGTCACTCCCTGTTGCGTAGGAGACCGATTGTTTGACGTGGTATCGTTTGATATCGAGTAACATTGAATAACATATGCTTTTAAATGCGAAGGTGACATAGTGACGTGTGATAATATATACTTACATATATAACGGTTGTGTTTCGATGAAACAGCTGCTCGTCATTGACACAATGTTTTTTTCTTTCTTTCTGTTTTCGGCGAAAGGAATTCTAATATTGATATAATCTCTTCCTCTTTTTCTTTCTGTATATAAAGTAGCATGATAGTTGTGATAGGAACAGAGCACGGTCGCTGGTATCAACAAGTTCAGAATTATATATTTCTTGTTGCAATTATATTTCGATTTTAACATATTACTTTTTTGTTGTTATAGACCTGTCCAATAAAGGTAAAATGTTGTCATTTTTCTATCAAAGATTGAGAAGTTCCTGAAACGTAAGGTGAAGAACACTTTCGGATTAGGAGTGTCTCAAATTCGGAACATTACTAATGAGTTATAGTTCGAGCGTCCTCTATTGCCGTTCAAGTGATTTGAACTTGCCTGCCATACTAGTGTTTTTTTATTACAATACATGGTATTTTCTTGCATTGAATCAATATTTTTTATTTCATAGTAATATTAGAGACAACCTAGGAAAACATAAAGTATAGAAAAACATTATCTTTCTTACATTCCTTTTTGTCCATGTTAAAAAGAAAAGGAGCAATCAATCAATTACATTACGACTCTATGTTTCGAGGTAGGCATGCATTGATATCAAAGTCTTACTCAATATTCGACAGGAACGGTTCATACGACAGCTCAGCTTTAGCTATGGCTTCCTGGACTATTCAAATAGTATACACAGTGTCAATTATTCGGACATCTTTTCAAGGGTTTCTTGCGGTATATCGATAATCATGAAAATACATACCCTAAGATTCAATTAGGTTAGTACTCAGTGTAGAGATTGAAGTATATCAGAATATTGTTAACTCTTTTTTTAGTATATCTACAGATTAGCAGCATTTGGATTATTTGCTCTACTATGTACAGACATACTATAGTCAAGTCTAAAACTCTTTCTTTTGGTCTACTTGTACTCTCTTTTATTAATTAACTGAAAATAACTGCTTTGAAGACCGACCTTGGATTTGAGCATTCAGATTCGCTGCATGCCTAACTCGATGGTCGACTTTGAACTAAATATAAAGCAATATGGAGGGATGAATTTACATAATATTAGATAGTCCAAAAATAAAAGCTGTTAGCACAATCCCTGTAGGATTCAAACGTCATAGATGATGTAGCTTTTCTTGCTACCAAAGAGAGATTACTTTTTTTTGTATCCATTTTGGGACACTTATCTTCACTATCTATTTACTTAATCTTCTACATATGCAATAGAAATGTATTTTATATATACGTAAGAGCACGAGATATTAGTGATATAAAGTCAAAGACCGTATATTAATAATACCTTCAATTGTTAATTGAGAGATCCTAATGTATTTATGACGATCTTTGGCTAGACGACTGGGTCTAAATTTTCACCTTATATACTTAAACATTTCTTTTAGATATTGTGCTACATAATACATACAAATATTCTTGTATTACGACCCATTTTTGGCATAGTCAAAAATGACCATTAAACATGCTACTGGAATCCATCATGTCGAATTTCATACGACACGTCCACAAAATTTGATTGATATATTTGTGCAAACCTATGGTTTTGTTTTATCAGCCACAAGAACTACATGTGACTATTCTCAGTGGCTTTTGGAATCAAGTCAATGTAAATTGATTATATCAACGACAACAGCAGTAGCAGAAAAAACGACGGAAATGAATTGCAGTCAAAATCATTATGAAATTTTAACACCATTGCTTGGTGATGAAACAACACGAAATTTGGTGATCAATCGGGATACTGCATTCAATATTGCTTTAGCTGTTACATCTGTTCAGTCAGTGCTCGATCGAACATCAGATGCTCAAGTAAGTCCAATTTATAACTGACTTCTGACTAAAATTATAGGTTTATAAAAAAAAAGGATTCGAAAAAAAAAAATATTTCGATCGTAGAGAACTGATGATGTGTTATAAAAACTTTTAACATAAATCCTACTCTAGATTAGCGGGATGTAAAACAAATCTTCTTCCATCCCAAGATGAGATGAAAGGAAAACCTGAAAGATATGGAATAGGATGATACAATAGTTTTCATCATCGCATTATTTTCTGTCCCCAATAGTGAAGAATCGAGCTCGATAGCTTAGTATGATCAAAAATTACTCAAAAGTAAAGAAAAATATTATGCATATTTTGAAGTAGATATTTCACATTCTAAACTGAACTATTAGTCAAGGTCAACCATCCAAGATGTTATAGGCTTAACAATGAAAAACAGATTCACATCTTATTTCAGTGATCTCTGGCTGATATTCTCACACAACATATGAAAAAATTCATCTTGCAATCAATTTTCCCAACAAAAGATTGAAATTTCGTTCGAATTCCATTCGATTCTCTTCTTATGAAACAGCATCATTTGATAGATTCATATGCATATGATTTTTTTCTTTACACATCCAGCCAAATCGCTATTTAGAGAAATAAATTTATCCTTTGTCTGACAGTAAATGATTGTCGATCATGTTATGTCCAAATAGAGGGAAAGGATCGAGAAAATGCTTCTATCAATATATTGTTGTTTTTTTTAAGGAAATCGTCCAAATATGAATTTTGACTATGCAGTTTTCTGACATTTTCTACCACGTAACCCGGTTGAATGAGATAGAATATCAAATGACATAATGGAATAAAAAACTGTTAAGTTATGAGATACATTATGAGATGGAATAAGACCATATTTTTGTTGCTCTACCGATATCTGACCATTAACTGATTAAATGTGACACACCTACTGAAACCACTTAAGTTGTAGGTAAAGATGCTTATTATATCTACCACAATTTATTACAAGGTCAACACAACATTATATCAAAGTATCTTTTATAAGATATGACAGAGACTAAGAATGATACAAATTAAGAGAGAAGAAAAACGAACTTTTGAACGCCAAGATTGCAAATCGACTCAAATCACTAAATATCTTTCTAATATAAATATTCAACGTTCAGAAATAGAAAATAGAATGTCAACATATCTGTTAGTGTGAGCAAAACAACTGAGATATTCCCTTTTTTTTCTTCACTATATCCTTCAATACTCTATCAGAAATTATATTTTAATCAAAAAAATAGTTGACTTTCGCTTTTTCTATGTAGGTACTTGTATCACGTCGCAAAGCCGTAGATCAGTATGGATCGATTGAATATGCTTGCATCAAATCATGTATCGGCAATGTTGTCCATTCAATAATCGATATGTCTCAATATTCGGGTTCTTACTTGCCTGGGTTCTTACCGATAACGATAGATTCCTCTCAAGAACAGAAAACAAATCAGAATTTGTTGAGTACCATTGATCACGTTGCATTTGCTATGCCACGTAATTCAGCTAAAGTTGCCATAGAATGGTATGAAAATGTACTGGGCTTGAAACGTTTTGTCATTAATCAGTAAGTTAAGATAAAAGAAAAAGATTGATTCTTTTATCTCTACTCATGCTTCTTGTTTAGAGAAGACGATCCATTTCAAGGATTCACTGTCCGTGTTGGTTCTATGGGTATGCGCATGTTTTCAAGTGTCTATTGGAAATGTTCTGAGACAGGCTGTGGTGATGCAGCATCAAAGCTCAAATTTGTTTTTGCCGAGTCATTGATTGATCCAAATTCAGGTAACTATCAAATAGTTAGTGTTGATTTAAAGAAATTTTCAAACATCACTTTCTTCTATAAGGCTCATCAGATCAAATCACAACTTTCATTGCAAGGCATAATGGTCAACCAGGCCTACAACATATTGCACTCACATGTACCAATAGTATCAAAGAAGTTGTTCGTTTGACAAAAGCCAATGGTGCTCAGTTTTTGAGTCCGTGTTCCAGCTACTATTCTCAAGTATGTCGACTATGCTTAGAACTATTATCACTAATACACATTAATACGTTTTTCTTTCTGAAGGAAAACAATGGTCGGGTGATTGAAGCAGCAGGTGAAAATGCAGCTGAGCTATGCAAGTTAGGTATTTTGCTTGATGATGAAGCTGACAGTTGGAAAACAGAGAACACAACGTCGAAATTATTAACTAAGTATGTTTATTGATTATGATTAAATGATACACTGTTTCATATGGTTGCTGTTATTGTTTAGAGTTCTTTTACAAATATTTACCCGGTCGATCTTCGACAATGATACATTCTTTTTGGAGCTCATTGAACGACGTGGTGCAAGTGGTTTCGGTGCTGGTAATGTGCGAACTTTATGGCAAATCATTCAAAAACGAATGGATCATAGTGGTTAATTTTGACTCTTAAAGATCGCTTGTGAATAATTTTTTTATGCTTATTTCAAGTAGCATCTGTCGAGCTATATTAGACTCGATGATGGCTAAAAGTAAAAAACCGAATCTCTCGCTTTCAACTTCATATTTTCATTATGATAATCGGAAAAATATAAATATGCTACATGTTGTGAATAATTTGTCTTGATTTGATGAGAAACTATGACGAAGAACTTTTTTGTCAGGTATCAAAGGAATTGAAACTATATCAAGGAAAATATTGGCATCATAGTCAAGCATTTTCATCATATTTCTTTTTTTCAGTAACCTATTTTCATTTGCTGACACATGAGATTAAATACCCATATATTTTACAATCGAACTAACTTTCGGCAGAAATTCTTTTTTTCTGCTGTAAAAAAAGCAGTTCATCGAAAAAATCTTTTGACTAAAATTTGACTTGCTAGGAGACGGGTAGTCAAAGGTTCGCTCCTTTATGTCCTGGTTCTTACCCAATACGACATACCTACGTCTGTATGGCGGGCAATCTCGATACAATGAAATGTTTTATTCGAATATATGATCATCCGATGGTCATAAATAAAACTATCTAAAGAAGTAGTATAAGAGGCGACAGTACAAGAGTTATGTGACACTAATTCCCTCTAAATGTATGTTCATTCCTAATAGACGATAATATAGAAAAATATTTTGATCATAATCAAAGTTTTTCTTCGAAAATTTCTCGGTTAAACATTTTCTACAGAATGTTGGTTCAACTAGACACTTTTTGACTAACATGAATCTTTTTCGACTAGAGTTTTCTTTGATGAAAATATCCAAAGAACTGTTATTTCGATTAAATCTGTTTTAAAGGTACAGTTATGAAAAGCATCGATACAAAACTTTTCGATGATATGATTTCAGATATAGAAACAATTAAACTAAAAATATATTTTTCATATATCGGTATATCAAATTTTTATCAATGAATTATTTAAATTTACCATTCTAAAATACTTTGCCTTTGTCAATGATGGATCAAATTCAAAATAGTTACTTGATAAAAGAAAAAAATTGTTTTCTTTTCAAAGGCACGATAAGTTTCCATGTTAAAATTAGGCATGCCACCAAATTCGTCGAACACAATCATTCTAGAATTCAAATATTCATATTATGCTAGCAGTAGTGATCAATAATGTAGAGTATAGATACGTAATTAGTTTGTGAAAATTTTATATTTGAAAAGTCTCATCCTCGTATTTGCATTATGGATGATTGATTGATTGATTGAGAATATGATATAACAGAATGAAGCAGTTTTTTACATTTTCATTATATTCCAATAAAACAAATGTTCAAATATTGGCTATAGTGAATTTATCCTTTTCATCGTTGAAACCCTAAAATGATTATGTCCTCTTTCTTAATAACTATATAAAGAGAATAAACATTTTCAAATAAAACTAATCGACGATTATGAATTTAAGAAATCTTCTGCTCAAATTTTTTCGATCTTATGAATATATTCTATATAAATAGTGTTATATTATCAAATACTTCAAACATACACATTTTTTCAATTAATAGAGCAATGGAGTTGTAAAGTGTTGTTAAAAATATATTAAGATTCAAATGTAAATGATCATCATCTGTTGATATAATACAACCAATGCATTAAGGCTCTGTCGACCACTAAAGTTATAGGGTAGTGCAAAGGCAAGTTACAAGATTGTTTTTACATGGTCGTTTGGTAGGTTAGTAAGGTCATAATCTGTCAAACTACTAAAAATATAGTATTGTCAACATACTTAGACGATTTTAGAAACTAGAGAAGAGGTTTTAGATAAGATCATACCATGAATAAATATTTTCAGTATTAACAATGATGATCTTTTTGTCTCTCTCCCACATTTTAGATGCCAATACATATTACTTGCATGTATTTCACATTTTTCGTTTGTTTTTGATTCTATTGCTGTGATATATAACTCAGTTAAGTTTTTCATCGACTGTCTTCAAATATCTCCAATATCAATGTGTGCATATTGAGAAAGCTATCTATTCTGATGTAGTATATGTCGAAGATTTTCATAACCGTGCGATGTGAGTGTGAGGATATCTGTAATAACTAGTCTACATCAAGATATATTCTTTTGAAATATAAAAAATTGATCTGCAGCTTGCATATTAGAACAGTTTTGTCTGCATTGCTACTGTTTTTTGATGAAAATGAGCTTCTTTTGTAAAGTTAGCTTGTATCGAAAGATCCCACTTACAATGAACTACGTAGTATACAACATATTCTCTCTGTCTCATTTATCAAGTATTCATGTATTATCCTAACATTTTTCTTGTTTTATTATACAAAAACAGACAATAGCTATGACTACTTTTCAGTCTTTGCATTCCTTGACATGATAGTATTAACTAATATGCGAGACATTTTTTTGTGAAATAGGATGAAAATATAATAGACGCTGATGAATACCTAACATGTTTGCATGAATCAGTACTAGATAATTAGATATCAGTTGACCAGTTGAAAAGTTGATTTAATGTATGATTAACATAAATAATAATTAGCGATCATTGAACAAGGATCACTAAAGA